ATAGTTTACACTGATTGTTGATGGTTGTTCTATGCCCCATGTTACATTCTGATACAATTATAAATAGTTTACACTGATTGTTGATGGTTGTTCTATGCCCCGTGTTACATTCTGATACAATTATATATAGTTTACACTGATTGTTGATGGTTGTTCTATATCCCATGTTACATTCTGATACAATTATAAATAGTTTACACTGATTGTTGATGGTTGTTCTATGCCCCATGTTACATTCTGATACAATTATAAATAGTTTACACTGATTGTTGATGGTTGTTCTATGCCCCATGTTACATTCTGATACAATTATAAATAGTTTACACTGATTGTTGATGGTTGTAATAATGGTTGTTCTATGCCCCGTGTTACATTCTGATACAATTATATATAGTTTACACTCATTGTTGATGGTTGTAATAATGGTTGTTCTATGCCCCATGTTACATTCTGATACAATTATATATATAGTTTACACTGATTGTTGATGGTTGTTCTATGCCCCATGTTACATTCTGATACAATTATATATAGTTTACACTGATTGTTGATGGTTGTTCTATGCCCCATGTTACATTCTGATACAATTATATATAGTTTACACTGATTGTTGATGGTTGTTCTATGCCCCATGTAATGCTCAGGAACAGTCGTCACGCCTTTTGTACTCTCATAGATAACTGCATGTTCCTGGTTATAAGGAGCGGCCGAACAAGTCTGATTTCACTGGGGATTGCTGGCAAGATGAATGAAGGGGTGAATCTTCATCAAAGTGTGACACCGAGAGTATAATTAGATAAACATCTGTTGGGTGTCATGTGGAAAACGTGTTTGACTGCCAAAACCATGGAGAAAAAAAAATCCTCTGACTATGCTGGATTCAGCCACCAGCCACACTTCCAGTCAGAGCAATCATTGATGTCTATATTAAACAGAACAACAAGATATTGTGAACATGAACAGACATGCAGCTAGTTTTACATTATCTTTCCATTTTTAATGTCCACATTAAAAATTATTCTTTTAATAGTCGCCATTATTAGGCCTCTTAACAGGCAATTTTACCACCCCCCAACTGCCAAGCTGAGATCTACAATACAGCCAGAGGCGGCTGTTCGCGTCGCAGCCAACTTAACATGGCATGTCGAATTGACTTGCCATTTACATCAATGGGGCTGCACCACAACCGCAGGCCAAACACTTGGCTTTCAGTTGCGGCACATTAGTCCCATTGTAAATCACAGCTTGGCAAAAAAACAACGGGTATTTGGGAATGCCTCTGGAATGCCAGACAGTAGTTGCTCAGCCACATGCTGAAAAAAGCGAGCCACCACAGCAGATCACTTGTTAGAAAATGTGTTATTGTGAACCTATCATAAGACCTCATAAACAGAGGGCTATTGCTTTGCTCCTGTACTGCTTGTGGGGGGTGATGAAGATTTTTTTTTTTTTTACCCATAAAGGTTGTAAAAGCAATCATTTCTCCTTCTCTCTGGGTCATTCCTGCAGCCATTGAGAACTACTGTGTGAGCTGTGATTGGTCACAGCTTGTCACATGGTACAAGGCTGTTGTGAAGGGCCCTGTACCATGTGATCTCGGTGATCATTCACAGATTTCACACGTAGTAAGCAATGATGTCAGAAGTGACATCTTGCTTACTACTCTGCATGTGATCACTGATTGGGTAATAAGTGATCACATGATCGGGAACTCGCACAGAGGTCCCGTACGACGATCGGTGTTCCACTGTGTCCGGTGCTGCATGCTCCCAGGGAGCGCGCACAAGCAAGGGGTGGGGAGGCCGTATATAAACGTTCACCCGACCCTGCACTGCCACTGTCCGGCCGTTTATATACAACGGCCGGACAGGAGGTGGTTACAAATGCTCTTCCTCTAGGCAGCAGCGTTTTGTCAGAAAAAATGTGGACATTTATCAAAATGTTTAAACCTTTTACGAGTGTTTAGGTGTTACCAGGCATCAGGAACTTGGGTGGTAATTCATTTCACTGGCCAATTTTTGATAATAATTTATTCTGGCCACTGAAATGAATTAAAGCTCAATCGCTAAACATGCCTAGTGCTTACATGCATTTAGGAGCGTTTAGATGCGTCAATTTTGTTTTTCTGCGATAATGTTGCTGCTCCTGGACACACTGGCCCTGAGCTTTGTTTCTCCTATTGGTAAAGACTACTGCTATTAAAAGCTTCTAAAAGTGTTTGTTTGCATGAACACAGAAAAACATGGAGGGCCGTTTGGAAGCTGTAAAAAACAAAAAAAAAGCGCCTGACGCCCCAAAAAGTGGCTGTAAAAATGCCCTGTGTGCATGAGGCCTTTCAGTGCTTATAAAGGCTGAAGGGTTTTCAAACCTTCTGTGCGCAGCAGTGGCCCCCAGCCCCCTCAATACTTACCTGAGCCTCATTGCAATCCAGCCATGTGAATGACAGCCTTGGCTGTTGCGGGTCTCTGTCTCCTCATTGGCTGAGAAAGCAAGCGGGCTCTATTGGCTGTCAAACACAGTCAGTCAGCCAATGAGGAGTGAGGGGGTGGGGACAAGCCGCAGCTCCGTGTGTGAATGGACACAAGGGGGAGCAGAGGGTGTCCCCATAGCAAGCTGCTTGTGGTGGGGGCACCCAACAGACAGGAGAAGCCAGGAGAGTCTGCGGGGGACCCAAGAAGAGGAGGATCCAGGCTGCTCTGTGCAAAACCACTGCACAGAGCAGGTAAGTATAGACATGTTTGTTATTTTACAAAAAAATAAAAAAATTTACCTTTAGAATCGCTTTAATGTTAATATTTCACTGATCTGAAAAAAAAGTAATACATTTGTAAAAAAAAGTGGAGTTATACTTTAAGTGATGCTACAAACAAATCTAGAATAAGAAGATTCTGTATAATGTTGTTTGTATTGTAGACATGAAACGTCAGAACATGATTATGTATCTATTCCTTTACAACACATTGGGCCCCATTGGCCCCTTCGTTACTTTGAGAATTCCAAATACTGTCAAAGTTTAGTGATGATACAAAGACTGAAGCTCCCCGCAGACACAACAGTCACCTGATCCGGCTTTTGTTTCTGGTGTCGATGGCGAGCTGTGACCTTGGCAGCGACTATCCGGGAGGACAAGTGATTAGGCAGCTTAGAACACCCATCCTGATTGCATTTGTTCACCTCTGATAAGCTGTCACTGGATTCCTCCTCCCGGCTTCTTCCCGCTACATTGAAATAATCGCGTGGCAGTCAGTGTATGGCGCTCTACAGTCTCTGCACTCCAAAGTCTATGGGAGTCCATATTCTAAAAACTCATCACTATCTTTTTGCAACCCCCACCGCCTATTGCCCCCTATCACTTTTTTTTTTTTTCTGCATTCATATTATTTCTGTAGTCATCAGGCCATTCCAGTGACATTGCAGGTCTTTGTTACATGCACATGCTCAATTTGGTGTGTATTGCTAGAGAGGGTTTTTTTTTTTTCTTGGGAGAGTGCATGTGATCAGCACAGGGCCAATCAGCACTGTCCAGACAGAGGGTCAGGGGTTTCACATCCTCCAAAGCAGAAAGAAAACTTCTCTTACAAGCTTTAACTAGTGCTCTGCTGAAGTCACAAGACTGCTCTAACTGCTGATGAGAAAAGGTATTTAGCAGTTTATATTTACTAAAATAATTGCACTTCTATGTTGTTTGTCCTGTGGGAGATCAGATATAGTGAATGTGGGGTCCGGGGAGATCAGATATAGTGAATGCGGGGGGTCCGGGGAGACCAGATATAGTGAATGCGGGGTCCGGGGAGATCAGATATAGTGAACGCGGGGTCCGGGGAGACCAGATATAGTGAATACGGGGTCCGGGGAGAGCGGATATAGTGAATGCAGGGTCCGGGGAGATCAGATATAGTGAATGCGGGGTCCGGGGAGATCAGATATAGTGAATGCGGGGTCCGGGGAGACCAGATATAGTGAATGCAGGGTCCGGGGAGATCAGATATAGTGAATGCAGGGTCCGAGGAGACCGGACATAGTGAATACGGGGTCCGGGGAGAGCGGATATAGTGAATGCAGGGTCCGGGGAGAGAGCGGATATAGTGAATGCGGGGTCCGGGGAGAGCGGATATAGTGAATGCGGGGTCCGGGAGAGCGGATATAGTGACTGCGGGGTCCGGGGAGAGCAGATATAGTGAATGCGGGGTCCAGGGAGAGCGGATATAGTGAATGCGGGGTCCAGGGAGAGCGAATATAGTGAATGCGGGGTCCGGGGAGAGCGGATATAGTGAATGCGGGGTCCGGGGAGACCGGATATAGTGAATGCAGGGTCCGGGGAGATCAGATATAGTGAATGCAGGGTCCGGGGAGAGCAGATATAGTGAATGCGGGGTCCGGGGAGAGCAGATATATTGAATGCGGGGTCTGGGGAGACCGGATATAGTGAATGCAGGGTCCGGGAAGAGCGGATATAGTGAATGCGGGGTCCGGGGAGAGCGGATATAGTGAATGCAGGGTCCGGGGAGAGCGGATATAGTGAATGCAGGGTCCGGGGAGAGCGGATATAGTGAATGCGGGGCCCAGGGGAGCGGGATATAGTGAATGCGGGGTCCGGGGAGAGCGGATATAGTGAATGCGGGGTCCGGGGAGAGCGGATATAGTGAATGCGGGGTCCGGGGAGAGCGGATATAGTGAATGCGGGGTCCGGGGAGAGCGGATATAGTGAATGCGGGGTCCGGGGAGAGCGGATATAGTGAATGCGGGGTCCGGGGAGAGCGGATATAGTGAATGCGGGGTCCGGGGAGAGCGGATATAGTGAATGCGGGGTCCGGGGAGAGCGGATATAGTGAATGCGGGGTCCGGGGAGAGCGGATATTGGTGAATGCGGGGTCCGGGGAGACCAGATATAGTGAATGCAGGGTCCGGGGAGAGCGGATATAGTGAATGCGGGGCCCGGGGAGAGCGGATATAGTGAATGCGGGGTCCGGGGAGAGCGGATATAGTGAATGCGGGGTCCGGGGAGAGCGGATATAGTGAATGCGGGGTCCGGGGAGAGCGGATATAGTGAATGCGGGGTCCGGGGTGACCGGATATAGTGAATGCGGGGTCCGGGGAGAGCGGATATAGTGAATGCGGGGTCCGGGGAGCGATATAGTGAATGCGGGGTCCGGGGTGACCGGATATAGTGAATGCGGGGTCCGGGGAGAGCGGATATAGTGAATGCGGGGTCCGGGGAGAGCGGATATAGTGAATGCGGGGTCCGGGTGACCGGGGAAAGGCATATATAGTGAATGCGGGGTCCGGGGTGACCGGATATAGTGAATGCGGGGTCCGGGGTGACCGATATAGTGAATGCGGGGTCCGGGGTGACCGGATAAGTGAATGCGGGGTCCGGGGAGAGCGGCATATAGTGAATGCGGGGTCCAGGGTTTAATATCACTTTATCAGAACAGTAGTCACATAATGAAACATGAGCGCCAGAAGAACAATGAGCCCAGGCTGCCAATTATTGCCACTCAGTGTCCACTACAGCTTGAGTTCACAGGAAGTAAAGGGAGTATGACTGGCTGTCATTTAACCCAGAATACTGGGGACATCTTGTGATGGAGAATACTGCAGGGGACAGCTCTAGATTGGAGGTGAATACTAGAGCAAAAAAGATATTAATTATTATTATTATACAGGATTTATATAGCGCCCACAGTGGGCAGCACAGTGGCTAAATGGTTAGCACTTCCGCCTGGCAGTACTCGGATCGTTGGTTTGAATCCCAACCACGGCACCACCTGCCTGGAGTTTGCATGTTCTCCCTGTACCTGCGTGGGTTTCCTCCAGGTACTCCGGTTTCCTCCTACACTCCAAAAGACTTGCTTGTAGGTGAATTGGCTCCTGTGGACACAGCTGATCACGTGATGTGGTAAAAGATCAATCACAGCAGCTTTTTACCACGTGATCAGCCATTTCCAATGACACGCTGATCACATGGAAATGCAATTACCGGTTCTCGGCTGCACTTTCCTACGTTGTCAGAACATGAGGAAAGTACTGCCAAGAAGCGGCAGTTGTCAGAGCGGGGATCGGCAACCGATCATCAGGGCACTGATGATTAGTGCCCTGATGATCGGTGCCCAGCAGTACCGCCCACCAGTTCCGCCCACCAGTGCCCAGCGTTGCCACCCACCTGTGTCCATCAGTGCCACTCAGCAGTGCAGCCCGGCAGTGCTGCCAGTCAGTGCCCAGCAGTTGCACCAGTCAGTGCCCAGCAGTGCTGCCAGTCAGTGCCGCCTATCAGTGCTGACTATCAGTACCTATCATCAGAGCCGCCTATCTGTGCCACCTCAGTGCTGCCTATCAGTGCTGCCTATCAGTGCCCATCAGTGCAGCCTCATCAACGCACATCAGTAAAGGAGAAAAATTACCTGTCTGCAAAATGTTATAATAGGAACAAAGAAACCTTTTTTTTTTTCAAATTTTTTGCTCTTTTTTTGTTTATAGCGCAAAAAATGAAACCCCCAGCGGCAAGTATATACCACCAAAAGAAAGCCCTATTTGTGAGAAAAAAATGATAACAATTTCATATGGGTACAGTGTTGCATGACTGCGCAATTGTCATTCAAAGTGCGACAGCGCTGAAAGCTGAAAATTGGCCTGGGCAGGAAGGGGGTAGAAGTGTCCTGTAGGCAGGAAGGGGGTAGAAGTGCCCTGTAGGCAGGAAGGGGGTAGAAGTGCCCTGTAGGCAGGAAGGGGGTAGAAGTGTCCTGTAGGCGGGAAGGGGGTAGAAGTGCCCTGTAGACAGGAAGGGGGTAGAAGTGCCCTGTAGGCAGGAAGGGGGTAGAAGTGCCCGGTAGGCAGGAAGGGGGTATAAGTGCCCTGTAGGCAGGAAGGGGGTAGAAGTGCCCGGTAGGCAGGAAGGGGGTAGAAGTGCCCGGTAGGCAGGAAGGGGGTAGAAGTGCCCTGTAGGCAGGAAGGGGGTAGAAGTGCCCTGTAGGCAGGAAGGGGGTAGAAGTGCCCTGTAGGCAGGAAGGGGGTAGAAGTGTCCTGTAGGCAGGAAGGGGGTTGAAGTGCCCTGTAGGCGAGGGGTTAATTTCACCTCATGTTGCTACAGAAAAGAATTTTCATGGCCACGAATTTTCTTTCTTTCCAGGCCGCAGCTCATGCTCATTTCTTTTTCAGTTACATTTCTCACACGATTCTTCTATCATTGATTAGAAATTAATTCATTTTTCAGAAAATTTCCACAATGCCGATCACTCAAATTCTACAGTCATTGGAAAATTGGCCTTTGATGTGGCCCACAAATGGTGCGAAATTCGAATGAAAAGTCTTCGAAAAGATTTAAAAAAAAAACCTCTTTTGGAATTTGACCCATGTATGGCCGGCTATAGAAGTTTACAAGGACCTGACTTTAGAACTAGACCCCTCATCATGGCCCGGTACACTGGGAGTGCCTTATGCAGGCCATAGATGGGGAGAAAAACGGCAGATTTTTCTTTTAAAAAACGAAAATTCGGTCGTTCAAGTGGCCGACGTTTACCATCAATGGTAAAAAAAATCGGCCGATTTTCATCCCTTCTACAGCCGGCAAAAAGTGTCCCTGCAGAGAGCTCCGCTATTTCTGACAGTTCATTTTCACAGCGGTTGAAACATTGTATCTATTTGTTTCCATTTAGGATACAGATGTTTTTATTCGGAAACAAATAGATACATTGTTGCAACCGCTGTAAATGTCAAAGAACTGTCAGAGAAATGTCAGAAATAGCGGAGCTCTCTGCAGGGACACTTTTTGCTGGACTGGAATTCTTCTTATTTTCATCCTACTACTTCTTCTTTTCTTCTCTCTTCTTCTTCATCCTCCTCCTCTTCTTCTTCTCTCATCATCCTCTTTCTTCTTCATCATCCTCTTCTTCCTTCATCCTCTTCTTCTCCTCATCCTCTTCTTCTTCCTCATCCTCCTCCTCTCTTCTCCTCTTCTTCTTCCTCATCCTCATCCTCTTCTTCTTCTTCCACATCCTTCATCTTCTTCTACATCCTCATCCTCTTCTTCTTCTTCTTCATCCTCATCCTCTCCTCTTCTTCATCCTTATCCTCATCCACTTCTTCTTCTTCCTCATCCTCCTCCTCTTCTTCTTCTTCTACATCCTCATCCTCATCTCCTCTTCTCATCCTCATCCTCTTCTTTCCTCATCCTCTTCTTCTTTCTTCAATCCTCATCCTCTCTTCTACATCCTCATCCTCTTCTTCTTCCTCATCCTCTTCTTCTTCTTCCTCATCCTCTTCTTCTTCATCCTCTTCCTTCATCCTCTTCCTCATCCTCTTCTTCTTCCTCATCCTCCTCATCCTTCTTCTTCTTCCTCATCCTCTTCTTCTTCGATTTTTCTTCATCTCCTATTTCTTCTTCTTCCTCTTCCTCATCCTTTCCTTCATCCTCATCTTCATTTTTCGGGCAAAAAATCGGCCGATCGGCCGACCGGCAAAAATCGACCGATTTTTTCCAACTTTACAGAAAAAAAAAAACGCCAAAATACCGAAAAACTTCTTCTTCCTCTTCCTCATCCTTCGGCCGAAAAATCATTCTTCTTCTTCATCCTCTTCCTTCATTAAGGCCACTTTCTTCTTCATCTCTTCAAAACTCTTCTTCTTCTTCATCTTCCTCTTCAGGTCACTTCTCATCCTCTTCTTCTTCAAAAAGTGGTTTTCTTCATCGGCTAAAAAACGGTCGGCCGATCTTGCCCACTAATTGGTCCTTCTTCAATAAATACCTCTTCTTTTTCTTCTTTTGTCTTCGGTCAAAAACATAGGTCAAACTGCTCATTCGCGATTTTTTATCGGCAAAACATCGGCAGAAAAAAAAATTGCCGCGAAAATCGGCCATTTTTTTCCAAATACCGAAAAAAACGGCCGACCAAAATAGCCCACTAAATACAACGATCCGAAAATCGGCCGATTTTATTTTCGGCCGAAAAATCGGCCGAATTTTCGACCATCTATGGCCTGCATTAGTGGTCATTAAGGCCACTTTCCTGTACAGAGGAATAGCAGACTGAGGGGCTAAAGCATATCAAAACCCCAAACTAAAAATATTTATAAAAAATGAATTTACCAATCCTTACATGTGGTGTGTGGTGGGCTATGTGCACCTAGCCAGTATTTGTTATTTTTCAACTTCCTGTAAAAGACCAAGCTGTCCAGAAAAAGTGGTGACCAAAGGGTTGAAATAAGCCATTTAACACTGGCCGAGGTAAATACAACGGTCATAAATACAACGGTCATAAATACAAAAATACAACGGTCATAAATACAACGGTCATAAATACATAAATACAACGGTCATAAATACAACGGTCATAAAACGGTACAAAATACAACGGTCATAAATACATAAATACAAACGGTCATAAATACAAAATACAACGGTCATAAATACAACGGTCATAAATACAACGATACAACGGTCATAAATACAACGCTCATAAATACATAAATACAACGGTCATAAATACAACGGTCATAAATACACAACGGTCATAAATACATAAATACAACGGTCATAAATACATAACGGTACAACGGTCATAAAAATACAACGGTCATAAATACAACGGTCATAAATACAACGGTCATAAATACCCCAACGGTCATAAATACAACGGTCATAAATACAAATACAACGGTCATAAATACAATAAATACAAAAATACAACGGTCATAAATACAAATACAACGGTCATAAATACATAAATACAACGGTCATAAATACAAATACAACGGTCATCAAATACAACGGTCATAAATACAACGGTCATAAAATACAACGGTCATAAATACAACGGTCATAAATACAAATACAACGGTCATAAATACATAAATACAACGGTCATAAATACAACGCGGTCATAAATACAACGGTCAAAAATACACAATACAACGTCATATAAATACATAAATACAACGGTCATAAATACAACGGTCATAAATACATAAATACAACAACAGGTCATAAATACAACGGTCATAAATACAACATAAATACAAATACAACGGTCATAAATACAACGGTCATAAAATACAACGGTCATAAATACAACGGTCATAAATACAACGGTCATAAATACATAAATACAACGGTCATAAATACAAACGGTCATAAATACAACGCTCATAAATACAACGGTCATAAATACATAAATACAACGGTCATAAATACATACGGTCATAAATACATAAATACAACGGTCATAAATACAACGGTCATAAATACATACGGTCATAAATACAGACGGTCATAAATACAAATACAACGGTCATAAATACATAAATAACAAACGTCAAATAAATACACGGTCATAAAATACAGTTGTGACCGTCAAAAATACAACGCCATAAATTACAACCGGTCATAAATACATAAATACAAACGGTCATAAATACAACGTCATAAAATAACACAAAGGTCATAAATACAACGGTCATAAATACAACTGTCATGAATACAACGGTCCATA